GTCAGTCGATGAATTGCAGTTTTAGTCACTTCCGTGTTGGTTTCACGAGAGAGACCGAGAGGTTGCCGCTTGCTCAAAACTCACGTTTGAATCGTCAGTGGCAAATTCTTTAAATATAAAAAACGTACTTACAGTCTTTGAGTCAGAACAGCCGGCATTGTAGTCTACTCTACCAGGATCAGGAAACAGTCCTCCATAAAATGTGCTGCACACATCTGACTATTTGGGTTGAAGTGTTCTGGAACAGTGTTGTAAATACAACTTAACCACTGATTTCTAGTCGTGTCCTCTTTTGGAATGCCAAACAAAGTAGTTTTGCTTTCACAACGAAACACAGCGTCACACACGGCGGGCTAGAGTGAGTGGTGGCCGGTGGGTTTGAGAACGGCGCGGCCGGCGGATTCGACGAAGGAGCGTTCGGAGGGCTTGCGGCAACCACATGTGACGACCCCGGGCTGGACCCCGCTTCGTCTACGGTGAAAGCCGATCCAGCGATCCACAGCGCAAAGTTTAAGTATTTCCTCAGCAACCAGCACGGATCAGCTCCAGGCAAGACGAAGCGGATATCGTCCTCTTTTGGAAGGCCAAACAAAGTAGTTTCGCTTTCACAACGAAGCGCACAGCGTCTTCACGACATGGCGGCGGCAGCAACAATACTACAGCGAGAATAAAAGTTACGCCTTCTTTCTTTGCGTGAACATTTGGGCGGCGTTATGCAAATCTTCCCACATCGTGACGTAGACATGTGGGGGCGTGTTAGAACGAGCCGTTTTAGGTAGGCGTGGCTGACTCATAACTTTTATAAAGAATATCTCTTTGGATTTGAGACTTTAGTCTTTGCAATTTTACAGATCTTCTTTATGCACCAAGAGCTTGTAACACTCCAAAGAGAAAGGAAAAATTGAAATCGCATCATATGACCCCTTTAAGGTAAGAGTTGTACGTGTCAAAAAAGACAATCCACAGCCTCAAATGTAATGTTCATTTGGCAATGTTGTCCTTTCATGTAGGATTCATAAATGTGACATAATTGTTAAGCTCGCACAAACAGTCCTATCTTTCTGGCTGAAACACGCTTGCAGTCACATGCACAAATCTGCACACGCCTATGCAAAAACTATGAGCGCATTGCACTGCGGTAGTTATAGGACATATTCAAACCTATCCTAGTTTCCACAAACTCGATCTGCATAACTGGCCTTTTCACGAAACTCCTCCCTGAATATTTCATTCATTTCCACCAGGAGACATCTTGGCAGGGTACAGATGCGAACTGATCTGAAATCAGTGTTTTTCTACAGATCTTCGGCCGGTTAGGAAACTGAACTGATCCCAGATGAGAAGGGCCACAGTGGAAGACGCAGCCGGTTCTGCCGCATGCCGTCTCGATTTCAGTGGTGTGGGGAGAAACGTAGGCACTAGCAGATCAAATACGAGCATGATGAAAAAGGCAAAATGCTAGAAACTAAACGAATGTTGCCCAATTGCACAATATTCTTTTTTTTTTTTTTTTTTTT